ATAAAAGCTTTGGAAGTCATCCAGTGTATGGTGCGAAGAACCTGGGTTCCGATGTCAGACAGCTCAAGGTTTCTCGGTCTGCCCTCGCTAGCTGTGTGACATTCTACAAGTCGTACGACTCCTAGAATTACTGCTAGTGAAAACGAGACTATCTCATATGTATTGAGTTTTATGCTCAGTGCTTTATCATGTCTTATATTTATTATCTCATTTAATCCTCATGTAAACCTTGTGAGAGAGGTACTTTATCATCATTTTATGAATGAGTAGAGGGAGAACCTAATTCTTCAAGTACACACAATTAGCATAGGATCTGGGGCAAGAAGCAAGTTATTCTGCCTCCGTGTTCCAAATTTTAGCCACGGTCACCTGCCTCTCCAAGCCTCAGTCTCCTTGTCTGCAAGGTCAAAACAATAACTCTCTTATAGGGTTGACATGAGGCTCAGAGATCATGGAATAAGGCACAATGCAGTGACTGCTTCTGAAACTGACAATTCATCATCTCTGACAGCAGTATTGCTATTAGCAGTGATCATAATATTAATCAGTTTCTAACAGGAAGGAGTCACACATGCTTTCTTCTTTGCATACATATCTCTGTGGACAGAGCCAAGCTCTACTCACTTAAGAAAAGCTGGTTGAATTACTACAGTTTCATCAGGGCCAATGAGCAGGGTCACCAGTGACTCAAGCACCTGATTTGTGACCATTTGGATGCCTGCCTAGAGGTATCAGCCCTCTAGTAACATGCTCCTTTCTGTAAGATAGCTTTTCTCCTTCATATGGGACGTTAGCCATGAATCTGGGTCCAAAATCCACACGTGGTATAATTTGTGTCGTTAGCTTCTTCCCGCAAAGAGAAGATTTTCCTGCTGGCAATGCTAGCTGCTATTTTGGGATTTTGCCCAGGAAACTTTGTCAACTTATCTGATCCTATAGCATTACATACATTTTTACAAACTGTAGCAAAATCAGAAATCTCTGTGCAAGCAGAAGTCTGTTCAACAGTCTGCACTCAAATGCCAGTCCTTTCTTAAACACTAACAACTAACAGAGAGCAGCATTGCAAAGCATCAGTCACTACATAATTGTGCACTTAAGGGCTGGAAGGTGTAAACATTAAAGATACACCTTTTTGCTATGGAGCTACTTTTATTTGTTTTTACTTTTTTTTTAATGTGTGTTTATTTTTGAGAGAGAGAGAGAGACAGAGCGTGAGCAGGGGAGGGGTAGTGAGAGAGGGAGACACAGAATCTGAAGCGGGCTCCAGGCTCCAAGCTGTCAGCACAGAGCCCGATGCGGGGCTCGAACCCACCAACTGCGAGATCGTGACATGAGCCAAAGTCAGACACTTAACCAACTAAGCCATCCAGGTGCTCCACTATGGAGTGACTTTTAGGCTACACATACAGAATGCAACAGCTGCTGTCCAAAGCCTCCCTGCACCAAGATGCTTGTCTGGAAAAGCCAAGCCTGGCCAGACCACTTCTATTCCTCAGAGGACCCTGCGAGTTGTCTCTCTTACCCCACAGCACATGGACAGGCAAGGAATGCACAATCCATGTCTAGAGCCCCTTCTGCTCCTGCCCTACAACCATGATGGCTCAAAACCATAGGTCATATGAACGGTACTTGGCTAGTATGTCACACAATTATTTGAACATGCTACTAGGCTAAAATCTCCCTTTGTTTATTTTTAAATGTGTGTTTATTTGTTTGTTTGTGAGAGAAAGCACCACCTGCAGTGTGTGAGGCAGTAGTGGGGAGGGTAGGAGAGGTGTCCTCTGGGTTCCTAAGTGGATAAAACAGGTGATCTTAAGCACAGAGCCTAAGAAAGGCTGGAGCCTGCCTTGTTAAGAGCCACACCCACCGCTTTCCACTTAAACTTGATTATTTGACAAGCCTGCCCCAAAGCTCCCTGATAGGGAAATAGAACAGACTCTCTGCTCATTACTGCTTTCCTGACAGACTTGAAAGACACCTCTGATCCATGAAAGTCAGATATTATCGGCAAGGACTTATCTTATCTTTCAAGACTCTAATCTTTCTAAATAGGCTTGTTTCCTATCTGTTCAGCCCTTCTAGGAAGCTCGGTGTTTTATTTCTAGTAACAACCAACTTTTTACCCACATTTGATCTTGGGCCTCACTTCACTTCTCTTGGCCTGCTTCCTCATTTGAAAAATGAGACAATTAGACTAGAAACAGGTCTCCAGCCCCTTGTAATTCTAAGGTACCCTAATCTGTGACTTCTTGGTGACACCTTACTGCCTCATGCTTAATAAAACTATCCGGATGTGATTAGACGAGCAAATAGCAGCGGTCAAACTAGTCTACCTAAAACTCTCCAAAAGCAGAGGTGGTTGGCAAAATTTGGGATTTGAACAGTTTCTGAGAATCTCCCTCAGTGTCCGTGTTTACCCACAAAAATACCATGGCAATTTTAATGGGCTGAAAATTTTATGTAAAGGATGAATATAATACGTGAATCTCTTCTGAAATCTGCACCTTTTGTTTATATCAGTGCTGAAGCAAGGTGTCTGAGCATAGCCTGATCCAGGAGAGACTGAAAATCACTGCTTTGGGGGATGCCCCCTGGGACCAAGCTGTGAAGCATAGGGAGAAATGTAGGCAGCGAGTTCCTCTTCCCAGCCCCACCACCCTGCCTTTCCGTTCCCTCTGCCCTTCCTTCAGAAGCCCCCTCTCACGGAAGTTCCCCAGAGGTAGGCTGCTGTGAGCTGGAATCATACCCTCAGCACCAGATGCTCATTTACTCTCCTTTGTTCCAATCCAGTCTGACTGACCATTGGTAACCTGTCCATTACCATTTCCAGATAAGTGCATTTTAACTGCCTTCCTTTGGAAAACAGCTTCACATAAATCAGTGGTTCTTAATGCTTTCAGGCCTAATATCTGTTTTATATTCCAACTATTTTGTGACATCTCCTTCATGAAATGCAATGAAAATCACAGAAAATATAACTTACCTACTTACTATATAATGCCAAAATTATTTTTATAAAATGGCCATTAGAAAAGTAACTTTCTAACTGAGGCTGCGTGGCTCAGTCTGTTAAGCATCCGACTTCAGCTCAGGTCATGATCTCACGGTTCATGGGTTCGAACCCCACATCAGTCTCTGCGCTGACAGCTCAGAGCCTGGAGCCTGCTTCAGATTCTGTGTCTCACTCTCTCTCTGCCCCTTGCCCATTTGCACTCTGTCTCTCTCTCTCAAAAATAAATAAACATTAAAAATTTTTAAAGAAAAGGGGTGCCTGGGTGACTCAGTCAGTTAGGCGTCCGACTTCAGTTCAGGTCATGATCTGGCAGTTTGTGAGTTTGAGCCCCTCATCAGGCTCTGTGCTGACAGCTTGGAGCCTGGAGCCTGCTTCGGATTCTGTGTCTCCTTCTCTCTCTGCCCCTCCCCGACTTGTGCTCTGTCTCTCTCTATCAAAAATAAATAAATGTAAAAAAATAAAAATAAATAAAATAAAATAAATTTAAAGAAAAGTAACATATTTTTCTCAAATGGGTGTTAGAAAAGTAACTAATAATATATTTCAATATGTAAAGCTTAGAAGATGTAATAAAGTAGCTCAATGTTTGCTCTATACCTAAAGTCACAGGAACAGCCACAAATAAATTATTGAACTAGTGACAAATACCAAACCCTGCTCACTGGTCCCTAAATGCCAGTAGCATCTCCCAGCCATTTATTGTGACAACCTCCTGCCCATAATTTATTTTTCAAATTGCCTTTTAACACCCTAGATCGATGATCCTGATGTGAGAAGTTTATCCAGTTTAGCAACCTCAAGAGAGGTATTTTGGTTTAAAGAATATTTTTCTGCCTCTGTCACCATGCAACTACTCTGTCCTTTCCCTATTTTTTTCCCCAAAGACTCGGGATATGCATGTCACAGTGCATTACAAGCTCAACAATACAAATTAACACTTATGGAGTGCTTCCCACATGTCAAGCACTTTTAAAATACTTTTGTATGTATTAATTTATTTAAACCTCATAACTCCATAAGTAATATTATTATCACTATGTTCCAGGGATGATAATAATAGGCACTGAGAAATTAGGCAACTTGACTAAGAATTACACATCTAGCTACATCTAGCTTCTTGTGGAAATCAACTCCTTTGATTATTATAATGTATTTTTAAATTTTTTTAATGTATGTATGTTTGTTTGTTTGTTTGTTTGTTTGTTTAGAGAGCAAGCCAGGGAGGGGCAGAGAGAGAAAGGGAGAGAGAAATCTGCACTGCACTCTCAGTGCAGAGCCCCATGTGGGGCTCGAACTCATGAACCATGAGATCATGGCCTGAACCAAAACTAAGAGTTGGACACTCAACAAACTGAGCCACCCAAGACGCCTCCTATAATGATGGAGTTTTATAATTAGCAAAGCACTATCTTTGTTTTTATTTTAGGAAAGAAACATTTCAGGGATGAAAGGATGTTTCTTTTTCCAGAGCCCACGTTATCTAAACGTTTGAAATTTGAGCCCATGTTTTCTTGGCTTGCTTTATGCTTTCAGCACGTAATTAGGTAGCTTTCTTAATATTTTCATTCAGTTGTTTCATAATGGATTTTCTCTTCTTGGCATGTCATCTATATACGAAATTGCAGCTCCATTCATTTAAAGACTGGGAATGCAAATCTTTTTTCTGCACTCTTTTTTCATTGCCAACTGTCTTGCATTGAAACAGGCTTGTTTCAGCTGAGTTAAGAGGATGGCCTAAAAAGCACGTTCTGTGCAGAGTGGAGGGACATGTGGTCAGGACTCTCCTAAATGTGTCAGAAATCACAGTCCTGCATCATTCAGGGAGGAAATGCCTTTCTGCCTGGAAATAGCCACAGAGTTGTTTTAACAGATCATTTTTATCAACAGTTTAGGGTTGAACTTTTTACCTTGATGTGGCTGCTTGTAGGGACAACAAAGTAACGTATTCGAAGCAAACCTACAATGTATTTATTTTTCCTTTCAGAGGGAAAATGATCCCATCTGATCTTGAAAGAAGGATCCTTGAAGCCAAACAGAAAGTAAGTTTTTGTAGAGAGTTAACAAACCAAGGGTACATATTTCTATTTTCATCCAGTGGAGAACACACTGTGGCTTTGTTTTAAAAAGAGGACTCAATTCTCAACCTCCAAGCCTTACTGAGAATGTGGGATTTTGCTTCCAATCACTGTTTATGTCTCTGAGTTGTAGACTCTGCTTTGGAAAGGTCTAAGTTGCTCTTTAAATAATATACACTGTGGTAATGCACATAGTGATGCTGTAAGAATTTCTAAAGCATTTGTCTTTCTCTGTGCTGAGGGTTGACATTAAACAGACATACATTTGAAAGATCATTTTCACAAGTGGAAAACATCACAATGTTAACGCAGCATGAGTTACCGTTGTATGGGTATTTGAAAGGGGCCAATTTTTCCTGCCTACAAATATGGATACTATTGGCTCTCTAAGTATCTTATTTTTTAGGAAACAATTTAGAACTCTTGGAAGGAGCAAGTTCTGGAGACCTAGAAAGTCATTTACATCTCTGGATGGTTTGCAAACCAGAGAGCTTGTTTGTAGAACTCCCTTAAATGTAACTTTTTTCTTTTTTTGAGAGAGAGAGTGAGAGCATGAGGAGGGGAGGGGCAGAGGGAGAGGGAGAGAGAGAATCTTGAACAGGTTCCATGCTCAGCACAGAGCCCGACGTGGGGCTCAATCCTACATCTCTGGGATCATGACCTGAACCAAAATCAAGAGCTGGATGCTCAACCGACCTAGCCACCCAGGAACCCCTAAATGTAACTTTTAGTGGATATAACCTACAGTTCCTAGTTCAACAGAAAACATACATTTTATTATTATCAACTCAGGAAAAATTATTCCTCTTCATATGCCTTTTTTATTTCCTACACAGTGGCCAGAAGGTTCCCCTTGTTTCTGAAGTAGAACTACTCCTGTTAGCACAAACCATAAGATTAAACCTTTGCTGCCACCTAAAGACAGATTCTGTAACATCCTGTCACATCTCCCGTTATGTTCACACCGTTTGAGACATTCTTCTACCTTCTTCCAGCAATTTTCACTTAGCCAGGGCCAGAGGACTGCTTAGATGGATAAGAGTCATGGCTTATTATATAGTCTCACATGAACCCGTCCCGCCCAAGACACCAAATAAATTTATATCTGAGAATTTTCCAACTAGGAATAATGGGCCGGTCAGATTTCCTTCTCTTTGTTCTTTTGTCTGCTCACTCTAAAGGACTGTTACAGAAAAGGAAGACCAGAGAGTGGGCCAAGGTGGGGGGGAAATCTACCTGGAATAAATAAATGGCTTGTGGGCACCACAAAGCTTCCTCACCTATGGGTCCAGTGCAGCCTCTTCTGAGAACCAGAGTGTCTATTCTCATAAGACTGACTGACAGGTCCAACAGAATGGCCTGGAGAACTCAGATCCTGGAGAGTGAACATCCTTCCAGGCTCCAGGGTGTCGATGATCCTGCTGATGGTTCCAAAACTGCAGATGATGGGGGAGAATTTCTACTGTTTTCATCAGCTGTTTGAAAAAATTCTCAAAGCCCTATTTGACCTTATTTGGGGCTTTCTCGTTTGCATAGGGATTTGTTCCTTTCCTTGTGAGTGCCACAGCTGGGACCACTGTGTATGGAGCATTTGACCCCCTCTTGGCGGTCGCTGACATTTGCAAAAAGTACAAGATCTGGATGCATGTGGATGTGAGTATCCCATAGGAACTGCCACTAAAATGTCCTTGCATGTTTATTCATTTGGGGCTCGTGGAATGAAGTCTGTCTTTTCTCTCTCTTTTTTTTTTTTTTCCTTTGGGAGCTTCTTTTTAGAATAGGGATATTTAAGATTTTAAGATTGCAGAGACAAAGCAGCACACAACTCACATAGCACACAATGTTGACTAGAGGAAGTTGGAGGCTGATGATGCGTTAATGTTCCCAACATGATAATATTCTCATTTCTATGACCAGTATCCAAGCTGAGCACTTAGCTCTTGGTTCATTGGCCCATAACATCCATGGAGGAATGCAGCCTACATACGTACATACACAGTCACACACATGCAGATTGTACTTCCCTGTGAGAATGATCAAAAAGGCATAAAGGAGTTACGTTTCCATGGGAAACCCAAAGGATAAAATCTCAAACTCAAGTCAGGTATTTGTATATTTGGAGAGGAAAGCAGACTTGACAGCTTGCTAGGAGATATGGGACACCAATTTCCAATTTCTTAGCTGGGTCACTTAAGAAGATATTTCATATTTGAAATGTTTTGACTCCAGGCCTGGGCACACTAAAATGAAGATGTGCCCACCAAAGCATTTTCAAATGAAAAAACGTCAAGTTTTCCATGGACAAAATGAAAAGATTTAAACTTCAACCATTGTAAATCAAAGTCTGGCTCAAAGATCAGCTGTTACCTGCAAAATGTTTGTTACTAATCCATTATTACTAACTAAGGATGAGCCAGGTAAATTTCCACTATCCCAGTGTTATCCTGCATGGCGGGTATCAGTCTTCTTTTCCTTCCCTGATTCACAGTGTGAGTTGTTTCTTAGGCTACCAATGACTCCATCCGTTTTAGAAATGAAGACACTAACAAAAGGTTGAACAATTCCAGTAGCATTATGACCTGGGTCTCGGAACTGGAGAGCCTGTTAAACCTTGCTAGCTGATTCAGGAAGAGGATTAACCTGACAACATTAAAAATAACAATGTCTGTGTCTCCTAAACCAGCAGATGCTGCTGTCTCCCCTCCAGGATTTCTACTTAAAATAGAGAGATTTCTTAACCAATCGTATTTGCTTTCTTTGAAACATATCAAATTTAGCACTTACTCGTATTATCTTAAATGTTTATACTTTTATAATTAGATTAGAAAAATTCTTAAAATAGTACCCATTTGAAAAATTGGATAATTTTTCAACCTGAAATTATAACAAACTAAAAAATAAGTAAATAAAGCTATTGTACCCTAACAGGTGGGGTTTTTTTTCCTTAAAATTATCCCAGGATTATTTTTACCCACAAAGAATGTCAACATTTTCCAATGAATCTCCATCTTGACATTTTTTTAAAAGAGATCACTACATCAGTACACTAATTCAAATCTTCAAACTTGAGTACAAATTTTTAAAAAACATGTTCCTATCGCTCAGGGAATTGACTGGTACACATTCTTCCTGCTTGTTTCTTTCTTTCTTTTTTGGGTAGAGAAATTATCTTATCCAAAAGTACACATTAGTAAAATAGGATCATGAAGCTGCTTATTTCCTCTGGAATTATCCAGACTCATCAAAGGAGTTTTCCTTACAACTCAGAAGCAGCCTAATGGGTACCTAGCTCATCCTCTGTAATGCCAACTGGGGAGACAATAGGGTTTCTCATTTTGAGATCATGAGTTTCATTAGCACTATGAGTAGTGGTGATAAGTTGGGGAAAGGATCTTTTTTCTTATGCAGACAGAAAAAATGTGCCCCCCAATTTGTCTCCTTCCACTTGTATAAATGTAGTGTGGAACCTAAAATCTTAGAACAGCCCCCAATTTAAGCTTTGCAAGTCTAGTACCAGAATAAGGTGGCCAACCCCCTAAATTGCCTGGGGTTGAAGAGATCACTTTCACCCCACAAGACTATCACTGTTCTGGGAGACACCAAACTTTAGAAATCTAGGCAATGAAAACCCACTACCTTTTTCCTTGTATGATCTTCCTTTTGCAGGCAGCTTGGGGTGGGGGATTACTGATGTCCCGGAAACACAAGTGGAAACTGAGCGGCGTGGAGAGGTATGCCCATTTTTCTTGTTAACTACGTAAAGCATGAAAGCTAAATATAAAAGCAAATTACACACAATTTCTAAGAACTCTTAGAATACAGGTGAGCCCATTCTGTGCAGTGTTTGTGTGCCTTGTCTGTGTGGTCATTGACACATGTGTATTATGTGTAAACAACAAAAAGAAATCAAATTCCCATATCAAGTGGCCCAAGCAGAATGTTTCTCCAATAGAGATTCCTAACTGCAGTCCGTGGTTGGCCAGAGGACTCAGGAATGACCTTCCTAGAATCTCTGAACCAACTACCAAAGTTGTTTAAAACCTCTTAGCAGGTCATAGTTTTCCAGGGAGAGGATCTGTAGATTTCATGCTCCATAAAAGGATAATATTGACCGCTTTAAGGAAACCAATAAGTAAATTTGCACCCTTATAGTTTATTAGTGTTGCAAGCATGGGTCTGGGGTTTGATACAGCCCACTGAAAGCAAGACCTACTTGTGATAACATCATCTCATGGTTATAATTCCATGATAATTTTTTTTTACATAGTTCTGATTGATGCAGCAGAGTACCTTTTCTTTTTTCCCCAAAGACTAAGCAGTAGATGGTTGAGAAAAGCAAAGGAGGTTATATTTGATTAGCACAAAACATATGCAAGTCTGAAGAGAAAGGAAAAAAAATTACAGAATGCAAAATCAGCCCCAGGCTTTGCTGACCATGTGCAAAGGAAGCTCAACGTTCCCAGTTCTCCCATTACACCGTGGCAGGTCAACAGCAATGGTTAGCTCTGACACTCAGGCAGCTGAGAGAGCCTGAGTTCATCCGAGGCCAAGTGCCCCCCATGCCCTGCCAGTAGCCAGATGCTGCCCAGGAAGAGCTTCCCACTGGCTCTGCCCCTAGACATCTTGGCACAACTTCTGTTCTGGGATGAGGAGAGAGGCCAGTGGAGTGTGGGAGCGTCTGTCAGCACTGGTCGTGCAGGCAGCCAGACCAGAATGAATGCGTGAGGCATGCTCTGCAATACCCAGGCCCATTCACATGCAGAGAGCCCGTGAATGTAGAAAGAGGGGTGGGGGTTACCAAGGCAGAGTCAGGGGCACACTGCCTGATTCATGGAAGACTCGAGATAGACCAGCTGAGGCTCTGGTCAGTGGGATAGCTGTCCCTGAGTCTGCTGGCTGGGGTCAGTGCCCAGCTGTAGAACTGCTTATGCTCGCTGATCGCTGGTACCCATTTAGGTGTGGGAGGCTGAAGGCAGGCATAGCCCGCTCCCAGAGTGAGCCGGTCCTGGCCTCTGCCTCTAGTCCTCAGGTGCTTCTCCCATGCCCAATTTCTTTTCTCCCCGTGAAGATCTGAATGAAACCAGACACGTAAGGAGGAGGCAATGCACTAAGCAGGGAGAGGCAATGCACTAAGCAGGGAGAGACAATGCAAAAAAAAAAAAAAAAAAAAAAAAGAAAAGAAAAGAACAGCTTGGAAGGTGCCTGCTCAGATGATCAGAACAAGAACAAAATTCTCGTGCTTTTGAGAGAGGTGGCCTGTACACAGTACTTCTCTCTTCTATGAGTTTCTTTCTCTCTAGCACAAAAAGTAAGCATCTATTATTGTACCTTTAATACACCTGGGACTCCAAGTGCTGAGAGTCACGGAGCGTCCTCCGCCAATGATGACTTAAAAGCTCACTAAATTACTTACCCTGAACCTGGGAAAAATAAACACCCACACACTTTTGTACTAAAGACTATTATTTGAGAGCAAAGCTTAGAACATTCACTGTGGAACATAGAGTCTGTTCCAATAGCCATAGTTCTTGAAACGGTATTATAACTAAATCTACTAAGTGGGATAACGAAATATGAAGTCCCAAAAAATGAGGGACTGCCACTTGTCTACCTGAGAGCATCCATCTTGCCGACTTATTAGCAAAAGGCACACTATCTTTGGCAAATAAGGTTGTAGGGCCAGTGGAAAGCCCTGGGCATAATGTGTATGGGCCTAAGTTGAAGAAAGAAATTTGCCACACTTGGGAGTATACATTTTCTCAAAGATTCACTCTAAAGTGGAGGAAATCCATGGATAATTCTTGTCCCCAGATCAAGAGGTTCCCCAGTGGTCACAGGGTCCCCTATGACATCCTTATAACAAAATGGCACGTGTCACCAGAGCCTGCCTGGCTTCCCTTGGAGTGCCTACCAAATTCTCAGAAAGCAACCTTCTTCCTCGCTAACACTGTCAAATTTTCTAGAGATGTCATAGCTGAGAGGACTTGCCAAAAGCCCTAATACTCCAAAGGATGCTTCTGTGTGATGTAAACTGACTCCTTTAATCCCTCCCCACAGCAGGTTGCTGCTTACCTGTGATAACCCTTTGTGGTGTCCCACTCTCCAGGTTTTCCAGCCCAGCTGGAGGTCCTGGCACGCCTTCTACCATATTACCAATTATTGCCCTCATCCCTGCCCCGAGAGCTATTTAGAAACTCAATTCAGTAGCTACTAAACCTCTGCCATATGCAAGGCACAGCGAGAGAACAAAGACTAACGTGGTGTGAAGCCTGTTTTCAAAGGGTTTAGAATCTAGTAGGGAAGAGTGACAGTCATTAATGGATTAAAATTCAAGGCAGAGGAAGTAAAGGCTCAAGAGACAGACAAGCGAGCTGCTTGGCAAGCACAGAGAAAGGAATGATTCCTACTCAACAGGGTTATTAAAGGAAGTCTTCACACAGGGGTGGGCATTGGCGCTTCATGAGATGGAAGTGGAAGAAGAGCATTCAAGGTGAAGAGCTAGCTAGGACATGGAGGTTGGAAAGAGTCCTTGGAGAAAGTCCAGATAAGTTTGGTTGGAGCCTTAGACGGACTCATGGAAGTGACTAGTAAGCTCGTGGAGTGTCCACAAGTCCTGCCCAGGGAGTCTTGGTGGAGAACTTGCCTCCTGGGCCATGTCAGGATCAACAGAAATCCCCGAGCTGAGAATCACTGCTGTAGGAGCCACTATTTCACATGGAGAGCCTTGGATTTCAAAGGTTGGGGGCACAAAAATGAAAGCCCCTACTGTGGCTTTCAAAAATGAAACCCATGGAGGGGTTTGAGGAGACGAGGCGGATTACCTCACCTGCCGTTTGGAAAGACAGCTCTGGATTCAGGAGGAGATGGAAACCATTGAGCTTTTGGGAATGTCCAGGTGAGAAGTGGTAGCGGAGGTGAGAGAAGCTAAGGGTGCAAACTGGGGCAGTAGCAGCAGGGAGGGAAATGGGATGAACCCAGGAGTGTCGCTTCCACCAAAAAGGACAAACTATTCACAGAGACTTGCTCGTCTATGGGACCAAGTGTGATTTTTTTCTTTAAGTTTTTGGTTCTTATTTCTTTAAACTTTCTTTTTCCTTCTTTCTTTCTTTCTTTCTTTCTTTCTTTCTTTCTTTCTTTCTTCTTTCTTTCTTTCTTTTTTTCTTTCTTTCGAGAGCAAGTAGGAGAGGGGCAAAGAAAGAGGGAGAGACAGAACCCTAAGCAGGCCCTGTGCCATCGGCACAGAACCAGATGCAGGGCTTGAATTCACAAACTGTGAGATCGTGACCTAACCTGAGATTAAGAGTCAGATACTTAACCGACTGAGCCACCCAGGCACCCCAGGACCAAGTGTAATTTAAAGAACAAGGACTTCTGTTTACCTCCCTTGCTTCTGAAACATTGTGTGTGTGTGTGTGTGTGTGTGTGTGTGTGTGTGTATGTGTGTGTATGTGTGTGTGTGTGTGTGTGTGTATATATACATATATATATATGTAATTAGAGTGTGATATATATGTATATATATCACACTCTAATTACAGTGATATATATATATATATCACACTCTAATTACACGAAGAGCATTGTACATTACAGAATGCTTAAACACTATCTGTACGCAATACTTTCTTTTGCCTTACTTTCCAATACTTTAAGAAATTCTAGAGACTTTCCACCTTGGCAGATTTTACAGTCTTGCATAATATGTCAAAAGGTATGGGGGACATTTTTTTTGTAGATATCTTTGACCAAGCTGACATCTTGAAACATCTTCCTTAAAAATTACAACAAAATCTAGCACCAAGGACTAAAGAATAAAACACTTTATACAGAGATTATTATTATTATTACTATTATTTAAATAAAGCTGCAAGGGGTGATGTCATGAGAGCAGGAAAAAGAAAATGATACTAAAACACTGAGGTTTGAGAGCTGGTTGTGTGGGAGGAAGACAGTGTGAGGCACTGAGGCACAGAACACACAAGAAAGGATAGATCTAGAAGGATGAGGAGGGGGTAAGTTAATGAGTTCGTGTGGGGTCTTCTGAGTTTGAGGCACAAATGAGGGCACAAGGATATGTCTTAAGACAGCCCTAAGGGATTCATTTTTTCTAACTTAAAGTAAATCACAGAAGCCACATAACTGAGTCTCACAGCAAACACTTTGAAATGAACCTGAGGCTGTTTTTCATAAATTGCCAACATTTCTCAAATAAACTAACGGCACATCACTGAATCACTGTGTGCAGCTTTTTGCCATGTTTGTGAGGCAGCCCCGCTGAGAGAGAGGCAGGACAGGAGACTCAGTGACAGGCAGTTGTGAACCTCAGCAGCTTCCACTCTAAAAAGACAAGTTGGCCACTGCATAGAAACAAACACCTCCAGTCAGAGAAATGGAGAACAGCTATTGTCTTCTCCATCAGGTGTCGTTATTAACAAAGCTGAGTTTCATCAGGATTAGTTATATAGCTGTAGAATATTATAGAAGCAATATATATATATATGCTTCATGTCACCAAGCATGGAAATGATAGAATTGAAACTGATAGCAAAAGCCAACCTTATTTAATGTTTACCATGTATCAGAAGATGAGCTGGGCCTATTCACTGATTCAGATGAGATCCCCAGGCCAGTAGGCGTTCTCCGACTGGCCGGCTGATGCCCACCATTCATCAGGTAAACGAATGAGACTGTCCCAGCTTCTCATTTCTTCCCAGTGTTCTTGCACCTTGAGAGCTGAGAGGAGGGTGAACCCAAGTATTTTGTTCCCTCAGAGGAGGGGAAGTAATTTCCCACACTCCGGAGGCAGCTGCCATGGCTGTTCTCCTTTCCCTCCTGCTGTGAGTCTCTTCATACTGGGGTCACACTCATGATTCTCCGCCCCAAGGATCCCTCAGGCTCTCGGAAGACATGCACAGAGGCTCACCTTGCAATGGGAACTCATTCATGGAGGGAACTGCTGCTTTCCCTGGAGCTGGGGGAGGAGCTAATTGAGTAGTCCAGAGAGAGTGAGGGAGAGAAGTTGAATGAACTTGAAGAAGGCTGCAGAGATAATAACACTTGATCTGAGCCTTAGAGAATAAGTAAGATTTAACCAAGTGAAGCAAAGAGAGATGACATTCCAGAAAGAGGAAATGGTATTAAGGAGACCCAGGAGTGTGAGTATAGAGTTTTCTGAGAATGAAAATAAAATAGTCTGTTGTGATGAAAATGGGTATGGAAAAGCGAAAGAACACAAGACTGGACACGTGGCCTGGGCTCACCCTTGAGGGCATTATTATTATTATTTATTATCATTATTATCATCATCTGACCCAGAACTATGCTTTAGACTTTTCAGATAGCATAAATACCTGGCAATCGCTGATGGGAGAGCATTGTATTTCTCAAGTGTGTCAGGACAAAATAGATTGAAAACTGCTGTAGGGGCTATAGCATATCCCACCTGTGGTCCAGAAGGATGTCTGTGGGTTAGAGAAGAGATGGAAATGGATGAGCTAGAAGCTGTTGTGAAAGGAAACTTGGGAGAAACGTCATGATCAATTGAGGAGGAAGAAGGAGAAGCTGAGTGAGAACAAAATTAAGCAGTGAAATGAGCCACTGTGATAGTGTCAGAAACATGAACAATGGAGGCACACAAGGACAGCCCTTCACCTGCATGGTGCTCTGCTCCTTGATGGCCAAAGGCAGAACCCTGGACTGGATGATCCCAGTCCCTCAAAGGGAGTCCCCCACAGGGAGGCTGGCTGAATTCCTGCATGGAAGCTAAGGGGGCACAGTGTGAAGATGCCGACCCTCGCCTATTCTCTTTGTAGACAAAGAAAAGGTTGTAGATTTAAGAGCCCACTTCTTGTTTTGTAAAGTTAGTGTCATCTGGGAGTCTGAGAAACAGTGCTAAGAACACTGAAGCTCTGTTGTCCCAGCACAGGACCTTGTAGTCTGAGTCTGCCACGGGTGCCACCCTCTTAACTTCATTTCTTTCCTTTAGGGCCAACTCTGTGACATGGAACCCACACAAGATGATGGGCGTCCCCTTACAGTGCTCTGCTCTCCTGGTTAGAGAAGAGGTATGTCTTCCCTGACTCATGGCCCAGTCCATCCATGGAGTTAAGTAGAATAAATGTGTGTAGTAACAGAATCAGAATACAGGATGATTTGACAGCCTGGAACAGCGAGCCATCTCCAAAAAGGGCAAATTGTTAACAAGGATGATTATGAGGTCCTCTTATGTCCAAGTATAGGACGGTCATAGTTTGAGTCTACAAGACAGGTATGTTTCATACATGGCTAAATTGTACTTGTGAAAAAAGGCATAGAACATTAGGTTGTACTTGGCAGGGTCAACAATGCATCAAGAGAAACTTAGCATTCAAAAAAAGGTAATGGGTCTAAAAGAAGTGGAGTCACACAAACAGAAGGTTACTGAAGGGGTTGTGGGGAGGGATGGGCTAAATGGGTAAGGGGCATTAAGGAAATCATTGTTGCACTATATGCTAACTAACTTGGATGTAAATTAAAAAAATAAATTAAATGAAATGTTAAAAAAAAAAAAAAAAAGAAGTAGAGTTCCAGGATGAGGAAGGTGGTAGTCTCCCACTGTCCTCTAGATAAACCATGCCTGAAGCCATTTGCTTAGGTCAGTGCCAAATTGCATATGGGACCCCACCAAGCTAGGGTTTGAATGGTGGGCAACAATTGGTCAACCTGTGACAGATGTGGTTGAAATAAGCAAGGATGTTTAATCTAAAAAGAAAAAGAAACTTCAAAGACTGAGAAGATGGCATCCTTCACAGTTTAAATGACTCAAGTGGAAGAGATTCGGTTTCTTCAGGGAACTGGGTCTGTAGCACTGGATGGAATGATTTGATGGCACAATCAGAATATGCCATGATTGAAGTTCTGACTTCTGGTCAATAAAAGGAAAGCTTTTCTAAAAATTAAGCTTTCTCCGAGGTAGTGAATGCTTTGCATAGGAATAAATTCACCACCGGGGGTAAGTGACTGGAGATTGGACAGACACTTATTAGTAAAGGGAGAGAAAAGATTCCTTTATTGAAAAAGAACAGAATAAAACCCCTAGGATCCCTTCCAAATCCAAGAGTTTATGATGCTCTGACAGCATGTTCCTTATTGAGATATAAGGAATAAGGTCATTGTATAAGACCGTATTAAGTATTCTGTGATAAGAGAGTTCTGGGCTCACAAAACTTGGGATATTTTAGGGGTGCCTGGGTGACTCAGTTGGTTAAGCGTCTGACTTCGACTCAGGTCATGATCTCACCGTTTATGAGTTTGAGCCCCGCATCAGGCTCTGTGTTGACAAGTCAGAGCCTGGAGTGTGCTTTAGATTCTGTGTCTCCCTCTCTCTCTGCCCCTCCCTTGCTCATATTCTCTCTCTCTCTCTCTCTTTCTCTCAAAAATAAATAAACATTAAATAAAAATTTAAATAAAAATAAAAAAGATTTTAAAAACTTGGGATATTTTAAATTGAAGAGTTAAAAGCAAGATTCATTACTTCAGGGCATACCAGAGCCTTTAATAGGTGGATATATATTGCAAATATCTTTAAAGAAGGAATTTATCAGGTAGAGTTTCCTAAATTTATTTGACCATGGGAATTTCTTTTACAACTATTTTATAGCACAGCAACTATTACTATATTTAAAATTGTTTGTAACAGAGGTGACTGGGTGGCTCGGTTGGTTAAGCATTGACTCTTGATCTCAGCTCAGGTCTTGATCTCAGGGTCCTGAGTTCAAGCTCCATGTTGGGCTCCACGCTGGGTATGGAGCCTACTTAATACAGTTTACAACATAATGGTCTATAACTTTTTCATGGCTTGGAATCAGGATATTATCAAGGCCCTTTATGTGAAAAACGTCACGTTTACTTATCCCTTTGTGCAATGAGACTGGTGCTGGCCAACCTTTAAGAGGTCATGTGTTTTGGTTTCTTTTAATGTTTATTTATTTATTTTGAGAGGGGGAGGAGGGAGGGAAGGAGACAGGGAGAGAGAGAGAGAGAGAGAGAGAGGGAGGGAGAGAATCCCAAGCACCGGCACTCCATTACTGCATTTTTATACTCCATTGCTTGTGGTAGTTACAATGGGATATTTCATTGCCAATGATAATTAATTAGACTCAGCACCAGAAGTTTAGTATGGAACATGGGTGGCAAAGTGACCGAACTATTCCAAAGAACAGTGAATGAATCATGCTCTCTGACTAAAGCAGCACTGCTGGTCTCCTCACCAGAAACCCCACCACGTTTTAATTTGTCACGAACCACAGGAAGCCTCTGACTCTTATCATTATCTACAGTACAATTGTGTTTTTACAAAACGTTTGGCATTTTTTTCTCTTGTGACTCATGGCAAGTAAAGAAAAGACTAAAATGTGATCATCTAGTTAAAGTTAAAAGTGAGAGTTCTTTAAAAAAAAGAATTTATCCAAACTAACACAAAATGTAATGCAACTAAAATTGTTAGGAGACCCTGAAAGACCAGATGGTAGGCAATAAAACTGGTCTCAACCCTATAGTTCGGGCTCCTTTTGCAGTAAAATTCATTGTTATTCTTTTGAGAGTGAGGGAAATTAAATAATTGTAATAGAGTGGTAAAATGACATTGGATTTGAAAAAGAAAATTCACTTGAAGGCCAATAAAATTGAAAGTTGCCACAGGTGACTCCATTTTGTTTCATGGTCACAGAAACTCGGCATGCAAGCTCACAAAAAGGTGTACCAGTCCTAAGGGAGACCACCCCAAAGTGTGGAACAGTGGGTAGAGAGGACCAGCTTCTAGTGGTCCTTTCAAAACATATGACCTCGGGGCATCTGGGTGGCTCAGGCAGTTAAGTGTACCACTCTTGATTTAGGCTCAGGTCATGATCTCACAGTTCATGAGACTGTGCCCTGTATCAAGCTCTAAGCTGAGTGTGGAGCCTACTTGGGATTCTCTCTCTCCCTCTCTCTCTGCCCCTACCCCCGTCCCCCTCTTACTCCCACTCTCTCTTGCATGAATACAAAATATATGAATGAACATTTTTTAAAAATACAGTACTGAAGCTCTAACCACTCTTGAGAGGGGAATATGGCATTTCAAAGATTGGTTATTTAAGACATCTCAGAATAATGATGTCTTTATTTTTTTAGATTTCAGCATATAAAAATAACAATAAGCTATCTTTTTTTTTTTTAATTTTTTTTCAATGTTTTTTATTTATTTTTGGGACAGAGAGAAACAGAGCATGAACGGGGGAGGGGCAGAGAGAGAGGGAGACACAGCATCGGAAACAGGCTCCAGGCTCCGAGCCATCAGCCCAGAGCCTGACGCGGGGCTCGAACTCACGGACCGCGAGATCGTGACCTGGCTGAAGTCGGACGCTTAACTGACTGCGCCACCCAGGCGCCCCAACAATAAGCTATCTTAAAAGCTATGACTTCCAAAGAGAATTCAAACCATAACAGCCAGATGATAAAGTACCTGAACTAAGTGTAAATGAAACACTAGAATAATCACACTATTAGTATTTTACAAAACAAAAGTTTCTAAAGTATTTTAATTACAATAAAACCAAAACATCAGGATATTCCTCAAAGAATGAACATTATACTCTGATTATGATTGTTTTTGAATAAATGCATTCTTGTAAAAAGGAGAGTAAAAGCATATATTTCACTGTTGTTAACCTGAAGTTACATTTGACCCTGAGCCATTTATCCCACAGGGTTTACCTATCCCAACAGCTCATCCTGTCTGGATATTGGCCCCATCTAAAAAATTTGATTCTTATTGCTTTCTTTCTCCAGGAAATTCAGTGTCCCTTGCAAATTTTTTTCTTAAAGTCCCCTGAAATTACCACATTCTTATCAATAAGGTTGCTTATGTTTGTGAGTAGTTGTTTTATATATTTGGGGGCTCCCGTATTCAGCACATAGACATTTATAATTGTTAGCTCTTCCTGATGGATAGACCCTGTAATTATTATATAATGCCCTTCTTCATCTCTTGTTACAGCCTTTAAAGTCTAGTTTGTCTGATATAAGTATGGCTACTCCAGCTTTCTTTTGACTTCCAGTGGCATGATAACTAGTTCTCCATCCCCTCACTTTCAATCTGAAGGTG